ACAGTGTCGTATATTTCGTCTACTTGTTCCTAATATGGGCCTAAAGCATGTCTTCAGAAAGTGTTTAATGACGTCACTAAGAATCGCAAAATAAGCTAGGCTATAGGCTATCACAAACGGCCCTTCGCGAGTGGTGTAGTCTTTAAATATTTAGTTTTAGTGTAATTGCAGAAATCACAAGCGTTTGATTGAATTTGGGAATGGTGCCAAGTGATGCTATAGGGCCCATGTGTCCCCGATACACATACATTTTTTTTTTAAAAACCTCTCTTACAGTCGAATGGTGTGTTTGGAATTTTAATAAATCACCAATTAATACCACACATGCGGTCATGCTGATTGAGTTCAAATTCGCATGAATGTTTTTGTGTGCCGATACAGAAAGAATTTTGTGTATACTCTACTTAAATTTGAATAATAAATAATTTAGTTATAGACCTAGGCTATATATTCCTTATCACAACGTATCATAATTCCATTCAGAATGTCCTTAGTAAAGATACCAGACTCAAGTGGTAATACAGTGGTTGTTAGAGAGTTAAAAGATGGTAGATTGATGCCCAGATTTGATCCAGAAACTTTAGAAAATGTGAAAAGTTTAAAGTTGAGAGAAGATGACGTCATTATTATGGATTACCCCAAATCAGGTAGAAATTTCAATCCTTAATAGAGAACCAAAATAGATCAAATTTAGTGCCCAGGATGTAGCCTACACCTATATACAAACTGTTACCCATGTGGAATAAATAGGCTACCTTTGATTTTAGACGAATCCAATACAGCCCTCTCATTTAGAAGAGTGATATACAGATATAGCTAACAAAAACATTCAGCAATTATTTACGATACATCTGATGTATAACACTTTTATTTGACCCTTCTGGACCAACCTAACTGAATTTCTTGCGAGCTTCACAATTTTCATATATATTATAACAAATTTTGCAGACGGCTCGAGTAAGGCATAGCAGTCTAATTTTTTTCAAATAGATCGAAAAAAGTTAGACCAAAATCTTGAGATATGTGCTCTTTACCTTATCCTGTCGTTATGTTTTTTGGTAGTAGTTGGAAAACTATCGTATAGATTTTGGCAAAAACAAACGCAAAATTTCAGAGAAATATGTCCCCCTCCCCTCCGTATTTAAATAAGGTTTCCACTAAAAATATAAAATATTGACGAGGCCGAACACCAAAACAAGTTCAAGAGGCTTACTTGAACAATAAGTACTCTTCGTTTTTAATTAACCCTTCAGTTTGATCATGTACATCACATGAATAGAATTAACGACGTTTTAAATACTGAAACATTTCATGAACACTGCTTGCTGCACCAACGAAACGTTTTTGGTTTTAATTTAGGAACTCACTGGTTATTCGAGATTGTTCAGATGCTCAAATTTAAAACAACCAATGCGCCTTGTGTTTCAACCTGTAATTTTATCATGGAATTCGTGAAACAAGATATACTGGATTCCAAACCATCGCCTAGAATTCTAAACACCCATTATAGATTTCACGATCTACCTACAGATATACACACCAAAAACCCCAAAATCCTGTATATAAGAAGAAATCCTAAAGATGCATCTGTTTCGTTTTACAACCATACCATCAAATTGTCCAAATATTATGAATATTCAGGACAATTTTCAGATTATCTGAAATTATGGATGGAGGGAAAACGTACGTTTTTATTTTGTATTGCTTTTCGAATAAAATAAGTTTGAAGTTTTACACCGAGTCGACACTCGAAAGCATTGGCAATGACATCAGAATTGGCGTATGCATACTTTGAAGGAGCATCTCCACCAGTTAAGATATTGTGTACGGCGTCAAATAACTCAAATTCTATGGGCTTTTTTCAAGTATCAAGGAATGCAGCGATTTGATTGGATTGTGCGCTAGCCAACACAGCCAATCTGAGTCCCCGACATTAAGACTGTAAATATTATGGCTCATGGTTATATAGCCCTTCTATCGAGCGTCCTGATTGGCTGTATTCGCGCCCTTAAACTTTATACATGATGAAATCATGTGCCCTTTTCCCATATTTTTGTAAGGTATCGAATGCGTATATAAATTTCGTTTCATTGTATCTGATCTTTTCAGTGGACTATGGTTCGTGGTTTGATTATGTTAAAGAATATGAAAAAGTTTGTAAAAATTCAGATCTAGATATATTACCTTTAGAATATGAACAATTAAAGAAGGTACAGAAAATTCTCAACATACAATTTCCACTTATTTTTGGGGTTCGTCTACAATTAAATAAAACGTGGAAACAATCTAATCGGTATGGACGTTGAACTATCAATAGGTCAATCTGCCTGGTAGAAATGATCGACCGTAATTTCGCCGTCAGTTCAGGCATATGAAGTGGCTCGTTTCATTCAATTGTAGAAAAAAACACTCAACAGATATATATTCGTTTTCAAGCCCTCAATAATTATGACAGGGGCGTTTAGAGATTATATATGAATTGCCTTCGTTTATAATATATTGTATCTAATGACACTTTCTTTCAGGACCTAATTAATGAAATACGAAAAATCAGCGATTTTTTAGAATTAGAGAGAAATGAAAAACTAATAAAGGATATAAGCGAACGATGTACTTTT